GCCCCGGGCGCACCCCGCCTTCCGCGTGGCCTTCGCCAGCGACAGGGAGGCGGGCCTGGCCGCCGCCCAGAGGCCCACCGGCGCGGCGGCGCCCGCGGGCGACAGCGACGCCGGCGGCGGCGTGACCGCGGAGGGCGGCGGGCTGGTGCTGGAGGTGGTGGGCCTCTCGGCGCAGGACGCCGCTGCGCTCTACGCGCTGCAGTGCCGCGCCGCCCCCGACCCCGCCTCGGCGGCCGAGGCGCCCGCGAGCGCGGCTGCGGCAAGGGAGGCCGCGAAGAGGAAGCCAGGCGCCAAAGCGGATGCCGCCAAGTCTCGGTCGCAGGGCGCCGCCCCGCGCGGCGGCCGCGCCAGCGCGGAGGCGGCAGCGGCGGCGTCCGCCGAGGGCGAAGGGGACGGCTGGCAGAGCGCCGAGGTGTGGCCAGTCCAGGACGGGGATGAGCGCTCGTTCCTGGCCGGCTGGCTGCCCCGCTGCCCCGTCGGCACCCGTGTGATCTGCCGACTCGCGCACAGGCACTTGACCGACTGCGCGAAATGGGCCGCGCTCGTGCGCCGCGACACTGCTGGCTGGCTCGGCCAGGCCTGCGTGGCCGTAGCAGTGGGGCTCCCTGCTCCAAGCGCGGTGCAGTGTCGCGGGGAGGTACCCAAGGCTGAAGGCGCTGGGCTGCGTCTGCGCGTGGACTGGTCGGTGCCGGAGGCGTGCTCGAAGCTGCTGGCGGGCTCGACGTTGCTGTGGCAGTACAGGACCCGCCAGCTGCTGGAGGACGGCTCGGCCAAGGCCTGGGAGACGAGCCCCGTTCTGGAGTGGCCGCAGGCGGAGGAAGGAACTGGCGGGTCCAGCCCGCTCCCAGGTGACTGGCTGGCGCGCGACGGCCAGAGGGTCTGGGCTACGTGCTGCGTGCGCTACGCCGACGGCAGCTTCGGAGAGTGGAGCCCGTGGAGTCCCGAGAGCAGGCGCGCCTCGCTGAACCTGCTGCCCCCGAGGCCCCCCGGCGGCCCGGCGGCAGGGCTGCGCGCGGACATGGCGCTCGGGGAGCCCACGCGCGCCCGGCTGGAGTGGCAGCCCTTCTCTGGGGCGGACCCGAACATCGGGCTCCTGGAGTACCGCGCCCTGTTGCGGGAGGCCGGTGAGAACGAGGCCTCGCCGTGCGCGGCGGCTCGCGAGGCCTGGAGCGAGGTTGGCTGGCTGCAGGCCGAGAGCTCGACCTGCGACCCCCTCTCCTGCGACCTGTCCTCGCTCCACCCCGGCCGGCGATACGCCGCGCAGGTGGAGGCGCGGCATTGCGGTGGGGGAGAATCCTGGTCTGAGCCCCTGGCGTGCTTCTTCCGGCCGCCCACGTCGTACGCGGGCTGCGCGCGCATGCCGCCCCCGACCACGCTCACGGCCGCGGCGGGCACGGAGGGCGTGGGCGACGCGGGCTCGGAGGCCGAGCGGGCGCTGCTGGTGCAAGCCCCGGGCGGGCTCGCGGGCTCCGCGGGCGCAGACCTCCGGCTGGAGTGGCGGCGGTGTGGCCCCGGTGACGAGGGCACCTGGGCGCCCCTCGAGCGGGAGCCCGCCCACCCCGAGGCCCGGGCGGGCCCCGAGGAGGACTCGGCGGCCGTGGTGGCGGCGCGGCTCCCGGAGGCCGGCCACGGCGGCGCCGTGGCGCGCTGCAGGGCGGGCGCGGCGGTGAGCTCCATGGCCTGGCTGCCGCCGCGCTTCCCGCCGCCCGCCGCGCCCCGCGCGGTGCTCGTGGCGACCGACCACCGTCTGGAGGTCCAGGTCGCCTGCGCGCTGCCCGGCCGCCCCGGCGACCGCCTAGGCGGCCGCGCGCAGCTGCGCGCCGAGCGCTGCGGCGAGGGTGGCGGCGGGTGCGTCGAGGCGGTCGCGCTGCCGCCCGTCGCGCTGGACCTCAGCGTCGTCCAGCCGATCTCTCCATCCTCAGTGGTCCATGGTACGGTAGGTTCGCGTCGTGTCGACCGGCCGCGACCCCGCCTCCCGCGTTCAACGTTGAACGCCGCCGGCAATCCAGAATCGGTTGATGTTGAACGATCGGACGTTTCGGAAGCGGCCGATCGTTCAAGGTGGGACGATCCCCGCGGTGTCAGGAGCCAACGCCGAAGTCGACACGACACGAACCTGCCGTACCTCAGCCCCACCAGCCCACTCCCCCAGGTGGGGAGAGGCCCCGCGGAATCCGATGGGAGTAGCATGTACGTAACCCCACCCCTGGGGGGCGCACGTCGGCCAGCGGGGCCAAGGGGCCATGCCAGTGGGGACAGGGATCGGTGAAACGCTGCTCAGGACCCGCAGCGCCCAGACTTCAAGAGCGTGCTGTCGCAGGGGACGCTGAAGCTCCAAGGCACCTACGCCTTCCGCGCGCGCGTCCGCGACGGCGGCGCCTTCTCGCCCTGGTCGGAGGCCTCGCGCCCCGTCTGCCTCGTCGCCGCCGCGCCCCGCGCCCGCAGCGGGGCCGCGCTGGTGGTCCGAGCGGCGCTCGCCCGCGCCACGGGCGCCGAGCTC